CAAATAAATTCTTTAAAAATCAGACAATGATTTTCTGGATTTTTTTCCCCATTTTGTCTCTCATAGTTGAGGTATACCTATGATGAAAATTACAGGATAATTTTTGAATTTGCTTCTTGTGTTTGTGGCATATTATATACCATATTCCTTGATTTTAATCTAAAGCCCAAGAAGCAAAATCTGTTCAGAAGGCCCACTTTGGAATAACGTTAAAAGTTGATGTCATCTAGGAAGACATGTTATGAGCAGGTCTTTCAGATCAGTATAATTATTATGGATGAAAATTTTGCTAAGTATTTAATGATAAAAGCGAAGGACTTTATATTTCCAAACCCAGGCCTGAGGGACAGGACATGCAGTGGGGAGGTTTACCTCATACAGTTCAAGATCTTGTGACACTGTAGAAATATAATCTTCTCTCTCTGTATGGGGTCTTGCTATATGAAGAAACATGTTTAAAAACATGATCTTTAGGTAGGAGAATGGAAAGGAGTAGATGGAAAAGAGTAACTCTTGTACACTGTTCATCCAAACTCAAGCATGACTTTGTAACTGTTAGTAGAGTAACGAAGGAAATGACCATGATCTGTTAGGGTCTTAAACTAAAAGAATTATTATTGCATCTTAATGAGTAGTAGAGTCAACCCTTCAATCCATGATCAAATCTATGCCATAAGAAAGAGCTGGAAGAGGTCCCACATCCTTCACAGTGTTGTGTGAAGCTTGGGTGCATACAGTCCAATTCAGAATGGGAATCAAGGTTGTAACTTATCCAAGTGACTTTCTGTATAAACATAATGCTTATGTGAAAAGGTCTTTTGGAATCCTGCAATCAGAATGTTCACTTTTCAGAGTCTTAATTCACCCCGTGCCTACCTGAAGTCAAACTCTTGCCTTGACCAGTGTTTAAATATTTTGAAATAATCAAACAAAAACAGTGATATTCTTGTTAATATGAATGCTCCCCTTGTCTTTAATAACTTCCCACTACTATCACATAAAAAAGTACAATTCTTGGCAACTTTTGGAAGTGTTTGAAGGGCTGCACTGAAAGCATTTGAGACTGCAGTGCAGCCTTGGGATCCCCTGATGTAGAAGCTCAAAGGGTCTAAATAAAACTATATTTGTCTTCTTGTGTGATCTCTGCCCCTTTTCATGTTTATAGTCTCAGTCACATATCCCACTAAATCATGGTTGTTTAAATGATTTATTTAATAAGCTAAGGTTGGCTTTGTTTTCCTATACTGTGCATGAAGCCAAAATCAGACAAACTATGATGCTTACAGCGTTGGATAAATCCAGCCACAGTTTTCATTTTCTCATTTTTGTGCCCTGTCCTTTTAAAACATCTGCATGCATATCTGTCATTTTACTGGGCATGCTTTCTTAAACTTGCTTTCTCCATATGTAGGAAATGTGCTATATTTGCTTCTCCTTCTGTTTCTAGTGAGCCTTTGGCTAATTTTAATTAGATGTGCTTGAATTCTAGTACTGCTGACCCTTGAGTTGAAGAAACAGAATTTGATGCAGGCAATTAAGTCTCTCTAACCTTTTTTTAAAAAATCTTCTTCTCTAAAATTATGTAATTTCTATTAGGTTTCGTCTGTTAATTATATACTCTTCCATTTTATGTTTCTAATGTCTAGGTCCGTAACCAAATGGTCAGAAATGTATTACACTTACCTACCTTGTAAAGAAATGCCCAAGGTTAAAGTTGCTAAGGGGTTGGGGCATCTACATAAAAAGTTAATTGCCTCCTATTGGCATGGGAGGGCAGAGAAGTTTAGTGTATTTCAGAGACAGTGACACAAGTAGTAAAGAAAGAACAACTTTGCCATGATGACAAAAGGAGATTAAACAAGAACTCAAAGAAAATGTTCTTCCTTTTGCTGGGTTAGATCACAAGAAGATGCAGGAGCAAATGATTTCCTTCTAACATTTTTGGAAGGGGATTATGCAATAGATAGGAGGAAGATCTTGGAAATCCCATACATACGTTTCTAAAGAGGAAGAAAGTTAAGGTGTCTGTACAGAACAGTCTATTTAATGAACTTGTTAGTTAGTTAGTTGATTTATGTTATATTTCCCGCCCAACTGAAACTCATTGGTTGCTTTAAATAGATTTCCCCTCTCCCCAGGAATGGATTTGTGCTCAAGAATGAATTTTCTACCTATGTGAAAAGGGCACCTGGGAGGTGATAGGGGTGTTGGCAATAGAAAGTACAGTATTGAAGCAAATTGTGTTTTTGTGTGTGTGGGAGTGTCACATCCATTCTGTTAGCATTTTCAAAAGAGTCTCCCCGGTGCCAAAAAACTTTTTTCAATCTAGTTCTCTACTGCAGTGCTTTCTAGCTACAGTCAGTGCATGTCTCTTCCCTACTATACATTTATCATTGCCTTGAAAACCTTCTGCGTGAGTCCTCTGTAGCCTTTGATTCAACAGAGGGCAGTGCTGTACAGGGTATAGAAATCTGCTTCAGGCTCAGAGAATGAGTCACATTATTTCATTGGTTCAATGAGAGAGTAATTTGGGCCTGACTGAGTTTTAGAAGCCTACGGAACCATTGTTGTCCTTTACTTGCTGGCTGAAATCTTTAGTCATGTTAACCTTCTTTTACCTTTCCAGTGGTGCTATAGGTTGCCGATGTGAGGAAAAAAAATTCTATTATCTTTTAATTCTCTGTCTGGTTCTTTGCCTGCAGGGGATTCTTACAAGTGGTTGTTTACAACCTGCATATTTCAAATAATATCAAATCATCAACTGAGTCTGACATCTCTACTTGTTTCTTCTCGGTAACACCAGATATTCATAGCTGACATAACTGGTATTAAGTGGAATGTTTTGTCTAATCTACTGAGGGTACATTTTGCATCAGTTTAACAAAAGGAGCATCATTTAAGTATGTTTATGCCAGCTACAGCTTGCATTTGATAATACAATTCCATGTCTGCCTATCTGATAGGAGACAATTACTTTTAAAACAATTAGAATCTCTCCCCCCTCCCCAGTGTTCCCAAGCAGAGCGAGCCATGTTGCTTAATTAGCAGTGAATTTGCCAACATACAGCTTTGAATCTTGGTAGGAGTCTTTGGAAAATGTGATGAATAAATAAAAGAAAAAGAAAAGAAAAAGAAAAATACCAGTGATTTGAAGTTGTGTTCCTCTCTGTTTAGGAAACTCTTTTCCAGAAGACATAATGTCTAACAGTAGCATCTTCATTTCTATATGATAAATTTAGAATTCCAGATGGATTCTACCTCCTTCCTTCCTTCCTTCCTTCCTTCCTTCCTTCCTTCCTTCCTTCCTTCCTTCCTTCCTTCCTTCCTTCCTTCCGACAAATGATAGATGTTTAAATATTCTGCAACAGTGTCATTTTACATACCCCTTCTAATCATCTTACAGCAATGTGGGTCTTTCTGCAATAAGAAAATATGCTGTTTTTAACCCTTAGCATGTTCATATCTTTATCTCTTTCAATTATGTAGGAGTCCTGATGATCTCTCCAGGCACATAATTGCCCTGCAACAACGGGAGCTTATTCTGAAAGAACAGAACTCTGCCATCTCGAGCAGGTAGGGACTTTGTATTTCTAACTGGGTTAATGGTACTTCTGATGTTTAAGAATAAACCATACATACTTTAACCCAAGCTGTTGCTGCTGCTGTTTAGCTTGTATGTGTGTGTGAGACAAAAAAAGAGGAAGAGAGAGAGAGATGTGAGTATGAGTTTACAATGTGAGGAAAATCATTGAGCTATAAGTTATTCTGTTTCTACCAAGGTTTTGGAAGTGAACAATGGTTAAAACATCTAAGGTCTGTTTAGCTTTGCAGTCTAAACATGCCTTGAATCCTTCTGTAGAGTGTAAGGAAGATGACCTTGATGGAAATATGCGAGAACCATTACCTGGGCAAAAGAGGTTGAAATATTTTTTAAGCCCAGAACATTGAGATAAGATTTGGAAGTCTCTCAGGCGGAAGTCTCCCTAGGATTGTAAAATGCCTTGCAGTGATGAAAACATATTGTTTGTTGCCTACCTGGTTCATTTTTTATTCTTTATTTCAAATCCTCACTGAGCTCTAGAAATGTTGTCAGAAGGCCTGCCAATAACCTAAGTCTGCTTTTTAAGTTGGAAATAGGTGGTAGGACTGGATTGATCTTGTCTGGGCTCAAACTTTAGGTGGAGTTGAGCCTGATCATAATGCTTCTATGGGTGGGTAACAGTTTCCTCCCCCTCCTCCAAGCATTTAGCTCATGATCTATCGTACAAAATGTTCTTATTTAGTGTATTAATTGGTAGGAATAATGTTTTGGTCAGAAAACTGCTTTTTATGGTTGCTTGTTGATGCTGGACGTAGGTAGTTTAAATGTAAGGTAAGGGGAAAGGAAGAGCAATTAAGAGAAAGTTTTGATTTGAAAGAACAATAAGTGCAATTGATTAAAAACAAGACTCTTGGAAATGATAGCTTTCAAGAAATTCCAAGACACTATGATTTGTTCAGCTTCCAAATATCAAGAGCTCAGTTCCTCTGTAATGTTTTATTCTCTTTTAAGTGGCAATTGAATGCCTATTTTTTGACTGTTCCTTTATTTCAAAATTGACAGGACAGCATCCTGAGCTCCTTAAAAGCAAATTTTATGATGTGATACACAAAACATCTGATGGACATTTTTTTTTGTTTAATAAAAAGATTACTACCTTTACTGTTGAAACAATTTTGAAATGGTGGGTAATGGTTGTGATCATGACATCTGATTGGTTTCAGCAATTGATAATATAGCATGACCTTAGGCCCTCCATTTTGTTGCTTCTAGATTTACATTCCAAGGACTAGGTTGGTATCTGGTTTGAGAATTGGTAAAACTGTATAGGCTTAGCTTAATTTTAGTGCTCTAAGACTGTCTTTTAGGATATGGGGACCTTTTTTTTTTTTTTGGTCAGTTGATGAGGATTAGCTTACCTATGGTTTATGATTTGACTTTTCTGAATGTCATGCAGCATCCAGAAATCTAAAAAGCTGTCAAACAAAAGTGGCTTGATATAGATCTGTAAGTGTTGCTGAATTATAGTTCTCATTTTTGGCCATAGAGTTGCTTGGAAGCCACAGCTCCATGCTTCTTCTAAAGATCTTTGAGCTGCTCTACCCAAGAATGCTTTTCTGAGTAGTCAGTCCCCCTTTTTCAAACCAGCAAGGTATTTGATATAACCATCTCCAAATTCCAAGGAGCACTAACTTTAGCATGCTTCAATGCTCTCCCTTCAACAGTTTTGGAGGGCCGATACAGAAAAGTTCCCTATCAGGTAAGGCTGTGCCCCTGTGCACCAGGGGCTGTTGAAGCTACAGCTCATGTCCTGTTATACTGTACCCTCTATAAGGATTCAAGATATAACTCTTTACCTAGTAAAACACCTGGGAGATTCCCATCTTTTTTATATATAGTTGTTGTTATCAGATCTGTATGATTTAGTTTCCTTGAACGTACCAACATTTTGTGATACTACCTGTAAAATTAGACACATCTTGACTACCCTCCGATGAACTTCCCACCAGTTGTAACATTCTTATCCTGTTTTGTGTTTTGATTCTTATTTTAACATGTTTTATTTTTCATTCTGACCATAATCAACCTCTATCTATCCCTTTGAGGCTAGAGATGGGAACATTGAAGCACAGGAAAAAGGGTTTTCCCTTGTAGTCCCCAAAATGTGGAACTCTTTTTGCCAGATGTGATCAGTCAGGTGCCATTTTTATTAAGTTTCAGCAGTGGAAGGATTTTTTTTCAATGTGTGTTTCTAAAATATATTTTTAAAACATTACATAAATGTATTTTCCTTTGATGGCTGTACTGTGTTTTATTCCTGTCTTTTTATGGTTTGCATTTCATCAATTGTTTTGAGGCACCTTGGGGATGTTCCCTCCTAAAAGTAGGTTATATATCATAGAAACAAATGGTAGAGTTGAGTATGATATTCCGTAGATTTAGTGATGTTCCACTGGTTATGACTCCATGGGGAAGATGTAGTTTAGCACACCCACTTCTGAAGTTTCATTGTGGTGGCAACCATGCCCGTTTATACCAGCAAGCAAACAGCATCATGTTAATTAATACTTCGCTTATTGCAGCTACCCCTGTCTCCTCGGGTATGAGAGGCACACACATTGGTTTTATTATTTGTTTCCACTGCATTTTATTATTTGTTTCCACTGCATGCAATTAGAAGTGATTGTGGCTAGATGAACTTGTCAGTGTCTGCTCTACTCCTTCCAAGTAAGGTTTAGGGGCTTAAAAAACGTTTTCTGCTTCTTTTTGAACATGTCTTTAAGGAGAACTTCACCCTGTGGGCATTTCCACGTAGGTTTCTTGACGCTGCTGAAAGGCAATTTTGTTCAGACATCTTCAACACATGATCACTCCATTCCCATTGCATGATTTGTATTAAGTCTGAGATGGCCTCTGTTTTGCCTTTATCTTCAGAAGATGGACTTCTTCATTTCAGATCAGTTAAAAAGCAAGTGAGAAAATGACACTGGGTGAAAGTCACAACAGGGGCCCATTCCCATTAGAAGCTCTTCAATGTTTTGAGGTCCTTCATTGTTGGAAGATAACATTTCTAGGGACTCCTGTCAACTATTATACAGTAGTGGAAAATTTAGGGAGTGGTCAAGACCTTCAGTGCGCACTTGCTCTTTGCAGCTTTGGAGGGCAGGCAAGTAAACTAGTTTGTGCAAACCTGCTATGAGGATGCAAGTCAGTTAGAAGTTCTGGCAGCACTCTTGTCTGTTTTTTCTCAATATATTTGTTCTTTAAGAATGTGTTAATATTTTCCGATGGGCGGGAGGGAATTGTATTCTAAGAAGGCTTATTAAAGTTATCTTGTATTCCAGCCTCCCTCCTTGCTGGCTGACAAAACAATCCCCTGTTTCCTCCATTTGAAAAAAGTCTAAGTGCTAATTTACTTGAGGAGCATCAGTGAATGGCTTTAGAAGACAAACCAGCCATGGCAAAGATGACACAAGGGAGCAATTTGCTACACAAGATCACATCCTTACTTGTAAAACTGGAGAGCAGACTTAACTACGGGTACAGCCTGCTTCTTTTGAATTTGTCTTAAGAGAAATTTGGGGGTTTTAGTGTTGGGGGGTTGTGGGAAAGAGAAAATTGTAGAATGGCATTTGCTGAAATAGGGGAGAACAACTAACTTTATTAATTTTCTTTTCTTTGCTCGTTAGATCTATGCCCCACCTTCCGTACAGGAGCACAGGATGCTTCCTCCTCCTGTTTTTCCCTACAACAGCAACCCTGGTTGAACAGTGAGGGAGGGTCCGGCCCAGTGTTCTGCCAGAGTGTTGGACCAACTGGATCCTTCTCTTGATCCCTCTGTTACTTGACATTTGATTTTACTGTTGATTGTTACCTTATTGGATGGGACAGTGGGTTTGAAGTTCTTGGTTGCTGGCACCGAAGCCAAACCCTATGATTGAGGTGAGGCAGAGCGCACCTGATGAAGGGTGTTCAAATGTGTTCTTAATTAGACTTTCTACCCTCACCCCTTCAGTCCACTTGGATATTGATGACAGTTCTCCTTCCCCGCCTCCTGCTGGGGCCCAGTTCAATTCTTCCTACTATTGGAATTAGAGTGGAATCAATATTATTCTCTAGCTAGCCTTGTTAAGTGCATCTCTCTTCACCCGCTTCAAAATTAAACTTTGATGTAGTATTGTAGCAAAAAATGCGACCAATGCTACCCCACAACTCGTATTCCACAATGCATGGTAGCTGTCATTGTTAATATCGTTATTGGTACATTATTTGATTATTTGGATGTATCTGGTAGCAGAGGAAGCTTGGGGAGAGCATGAATTAACACACTTATTCGGAATAAGTCAGAATTTTGAAGAATACTGGCTGATCTGTATATGAAGATGGATCTACTGATTTGAAAGGTAATATGCCTTGTCGTATTTTCTGGGTAAAATCTGTAATGAGTTTGGAGCAGGCTCCCTTCCTAATGTTGCTTGTAATCTAGGTCAAATCAGGTACTTTAGTATGATACAACAGTTTGATTGCAGTGCTAGCTCTAGCGTTAGATCTTCTCTCTTCTTCATGGAAACCAGTAGCATCTTTATGATTAAGGTCTTTCTCTTGGCTCAGCCAGAGTCTGAAAAAAGACAGAAGAATGCTAATAAGTTTGGAAACAAATTCTACCTTCAAATTTGTGAAAGTGCTTCAAATGAAGTTATCTTTAAATATACATATACATAGGAATTATTTATACAGTATTATGAACAACACTTCTTTTGCTATCGGAATTCTGATGCACCTCGCTTCTTTTTGATAAAGTTACCTTTCATTAAACTTCTGCCCAAGTTAAAGGCAGCTTGAAAGACAGAATGAAACCATCTCCCTTTATATTAATGTCAGAGAGATTGTTTGGGATGGTCCAAAAAAACCATAAGGAAGACAACACAGATGGTGCACAGCTTCTCCGGTAATATTATTGTTAATGTTGGGGGGGGGGACCCTCTGTGATGCTCAAGTAGCATAACTTGAGCAGTGGAGTAGGCTTCCTGCC